CAAAAAGCGAAACCTTCAGAAATCACAGGAATACAAACTGGGAAATGTATGAAAGGGTAGTGAGGAAGAATTTAACCAAGTATAGGGTAAGTGACTCCCACTCTGAATTGGAGAAACTGGTAGTCTCACTTACCAACACTCTAAATAAAGCTTATCGCATCGCATGCCCTCCGCTACATGCCAAGCGAGGTTCAATGCCACCTTGGTGGAACAGGAGGCTCGGAGCACTCAGAAAAAATGTTAGGGAACTCCTAAAACTGGCCAAGGTAGCCGATGACGAGTTCTGCTGGATGGAATACAAGGAAGTACTTAAGGAATACAAGAAAGAGATTCGTAAATGCAAGCGGGAGTCGTGGAAGAGCTTCTGCGGCGAATTAGAAAAAACAACCGAGGTAGCCAGGCTAAGGAAATTGCTATCCAAGAACCCGACTACTCCAAGGTTACTACGTAAAAAATGTGGAGAGTGGACTGGAAGCAGTGAGGACTAACTGGAAGACCTAGTCAACACACACTTTCCGGGGTGTACAGACAGCATAGATCTGCAACTTCTAGGAGATAGCGTGGAAAATGTCCCCCCCGGACATCATAACGGAAGAAAAAATACGGTGGGCAATCGATGGCTTCGGACCGTTTAAGTCCCCAGGCAGAGGCGTTATCTTTCCAGCCATGATGCAAAAAATTTCCGCAGTGCTGACACCATACTTGAAAATAATATACGAGGGATGTTTAAGACTAAACTATGTGCCTGTCCTTTGGAGAGAGGCAAGGGTCGTATTCATACCGAAGGCGGGCAAGGGAAATCCCCTCTATTCGAAAGAATACAGACCAATTAGTCTAACCTCATTCCTTCTAAAGACGCTCGAAAAGATTCTACACGCCTACATTAGGAATAAGCTGCCGTCGGCCAGCATATCAAGGGCGCAGCATGCCTACACGAAGGGTAGATCCACTGAGACTGCATTTCACTCACTAACCGCGGTAATAGAAAAAGCTCTGGAGTATAAAGAATATGCCCTAGGGCTCTTTCTGGACATAAGTGGGGCATTTAATAATGTCTCCTATGAGGCAATAATGGAAAGCCTAGAAGCAGCCCAGGTAGAGTCTGACATTCTACGTTGTTACGGGGAAATTCCTAGACACCATCAGTAACGTAATGGAAAGCGCTCTAAGGGTCGTACATCGATGGGCGACAACAGTCAACTTAGAGGTATATGCTGACAAAACGGATGCGGTACTGTTCACAAGAAGGTACAAAATCCCCGCGTGGAAACCCCCGAGGCTCAACGGGGCGGAGCTATCAATCAAGGATCACACCAAGTACCTGGGAGTAATTTTGGACAGCAAACTGTTGTGGAAGCTAAATGTGGAGGAAAGGGTGAAAAAGGCCAGTGGTGCCCTTTACGCATGTAAAAGGATGCTGGGTACCACATGGGGCCTATCCCCTGGCCTCATGCATTGGTGTTACTAAGCGGTAGTTAAGCCGATATTGCTCTACGGCGCTCTGGTATGGTGGACCGCTGCAAACAAAATTTCGTATAGAAAACCATTGGAGCGATTACAGCGGCTCGCTGCACTGTGCATAATAGGAGCGCTAAGGACCACTCCAACGGCGGCACTTGAAATGCTACTTGACCTACCCCCAATCGACATCGCGGTGGAGAGCACTGCAGCGAAATCCGCCACGAGATTTATGGCCTTAGGTGAATTCTCCGCAAGAACCTTCGGGCACAGCTCGATATGCAGGGGGATGGAGGATAAAATAGACCACATACCCCCACGCTTCATCTGGGAAAGAAGGTTTAAAGCTACGGTTAAGGAGGGCGGATGGCGCATGAGCACGCGACCCGCCAGCGGCACGTATAAAATCTACACGGATGGATCAAAAATGGCTGATGGAGTGGGCGCCGGAGTCTATTGCGCCAAGCTAGACCTCAGGCAACCCTTCAACCTTCCAGAGTACTGAAGTATTTTCCAGGCGGAAGTCTTCGCTGTAGGGAAAGCTGCTGAGATAGCTAGCAACGCAGGAAACTATATAAAAAATATCAATATATATGTCGATAGCCAGGCGGCGATTAAGGCCATAATCTCACATCGTATTGCGTCAGAAAATGTCCTTAGAAGCAGGGAA